GGCGGGCACCGCCGGCGGAGAAGAGGCCGCGTCGGGGTTGGGGTCTAGGTCTTCTACTTGGTGATCCATGTAGTTGTTTGAGATGGCCGAGTCGGGGTGAGTCGGGAATCGGACCGAGTTGCGGCGACCAAACTGGGTGAAGCTTCTGCTATTGGGGTGAGGGACAGGGACATCCGATGTGGGAATATCAATTGACGATGTCCAAGCAGAACCTGCACGCTTCAGCCGTAGCTTGTCCTTGAAGGCTTTCCAAGACCTGCATGCATGCCATACAAATTATATATTCACTCATTTTTTTTCATTACTTGAGTTACAATTACTCTCTATACAGAGTCATAGAAAAGAAAGCAAGAAGCAGCATAAAATGGTTGTTACCTGCGGTCCTTCTTGTTGGTTTCGTCGTCTTTGATGATGTCAAGGAGGGTTCGATTCTTGGGAGGTTGTGGGGTGTGTGGCGTTAACGAGAAATGTCTCTTCTGGTTGGCTAACACGTCGTCAAGGGTCAAGCCAGCTAGCTCTCGGGCTCGGCTGCTCTCCGATGCTGACATTTGTTCATGTAGCGTTACCCTCCGGCGACCTTCCATCACATTTAGTTTTAGCACATTCCCCCCACAACACACAACTTCATTTCTTACTATCTCTATATAACAACTAAAGCTTCAAAGTTGTATGCATTTAATTCATTCCAAACTATAACTACTGGATCTACTACATGCTGGAGAATGTTCTTATGAAAGAACTTATGCTTATGCATTTAGATAGGCAATGGGTCACCACTTTTTCCCTCGGAAAATTGTCTTTTTCTTTGGAAAAGGAAGGAAGGTAAACAAGGAGAAATTATTAATTGATCTCGGACCACGTGATCCATAAATAACTAATCTTTATATACATGTAATTAAGTTCTAGTAAATTGAAAAACTTAAATGATCATAACTATAGACATAGATACATGTCATATTTTTGGATTATCTAATAATTTATCCACAAATAGGACAGTGCAAAAACGTTTTGTGTGTGAGTTGATTCATTTTCTGGGTGGGGCCCATTGTAAAGCAAGCCAAAAATAGGAAAGAGAGAGAGAGAGGAAGCTAGCCTTGGATACCTTTGGCCCCCGACCAAATTGATCGAGAGAGGTCACAACTCTGTTTCGTTATGCTTCATTTATTTCTGCAAACAAAATAACGGATCAGTGATACCAAAAGCAACGCGAAGGAAGAGAGTAATTAGAGAAACAAATTAACGTTGAATTTATTGGAAGGAAAAAGGGTCATGATCATGAAGCTCACGGTCATGACGTTGTTGTTAGATGATAAAAGATGCAGCTAGCGTTGTTAATTATTTTGAGTCTTTTTGGATTTGTCACCACTTTCTATTCTCTCTTTAGTGAATTTGCAAATTGCGATGCGTGGTCCATGGTAACTAGATGTAGGGTCGTAGAGAGAGAGAGAGAGAGTGGGGATGCGTTGTGGAAGAGAATGTTGGATTTTTGGACAGAGAAACGAATTTTATGGGGAAACACATCTCTCCCATTTTTGCGCGGAGATCCTCTTGTAAGTTGTAATCCCTTAGCACATGGTAATGCAATTGCAGGTTACAAGTTTATTAACGGAATTAGCCGTGTAATAAATGGACCGTTAAATGTTATATTATATTTATATTTTATATTTGTAAGCTAATTCAACAAAGTTTTCCTTAATTCAGTTAATGGATTTGTTTGTTTAAATTTTTTACTCTGAAAGTGTTTTTTTTAAATAAAATATCTATTGTTTTTTAAAAAATTATGTGCTTGTCTAATTTTTTTTATTTTAAATAAACAATTTTTTCTTCACCATTTTTTAAGAACCAATTCCTATCCATTTATTAAAAAGGGTTACTTTTTATTTATTTATAAGATTTTAAATTTAAACTAAGACCCAATGTAATATTTAAGGTTTAGTTCATAGTATATAGTTTATTAAATTAAAGTGAGATTAATCATCAATTCAATGACATAGTGAATAAATAAATTAAAGAATACATATAATAAAAAAAATCATTGATAACTGTTATTTAAAACAAGAATAAGTTGTCATTGTGGGTTGATACAAGCAAATGGTACAAAATTTGGTTTGAGTTTGAGTTCTTTATGATATCAATTTAACATCATTAAAATTCTATTTTGGTGGGACATACCTATTTAAGGGAATTCTTTAGTTGAATTTATTTAAAATTGAGAATCTAACCTTTCTAAATGATATATATCCCTTGGTTAGATTCAAGATCCCTCGAAACCATGTGTAAGTCTTAAAACTTATGTTAAATCTTGTACCTTCAATAATTTTTTTGTATAATACAAATTTAACCAATCAAACCGTTTTAATCAATAGTGGTGGTGGCAATTGCACTAGTCACAATGATAGTTGTGATGATGATTATAATAAAGATAATATGATGGTGAGAAGATTTGTCTATTTTAATCTTATGATTAATATTAATAGTTCTCTTTTTTTATATTAAGAAGTTTCTTATTTTGAAATATATATATAGAGAGAGAAAGAGAGATCTAGATATTGGCTATCTTCAAACACCATTTTCCCCCTTTATTTTTCATTTTTAATTTGTGAAGTCTCATTTTCTGCAAGAATTGCACTAAATCAGCCAAGTGCTCATATTGGCCAACTTGATCACCACATTGTCAATATAAATTTCCATATGCTAGTAGCATCATGGAAGTATAGATTGATTGTCCTCTAATAAATACCACCACCATTCTTTAATCCGAATGATATCACTGACCACTTATAAATTCCCATAGCCTTGCGACTTTGAAAAGATGTTTTGTTGACATCTTTAGTAGCCATGAAGATTTTATTATATCCTGAATGGTCGTCCATAAAGGTGAGGAGACCATGTTTGGTGGCTACATATGGCGACATATTGGCTATGAGCATGACATCATCCTTTTAAGTTTCCAGATTTAGATCTCTGAAGTTGGTACATACTTGTACTTGCCTCCTTATCTTTATAACTAGGACAATGTTTGAGAACTATTCAACATATCTGGATACTTAGATGAAACTTGTACTCAATATTCAATCAATTTTTGCCTTGATCTGAGGCAAAAGTTAGGGATTAAATCCCTTGGGAAGTTATCAACATGGTTTGAATCCCTTTTTTAATTGGGAACATTTCTCTTGATTGTAGGAATAAAAGCTTTGTCTACCTACCCTCTTGGTAGATTGACCATTGTTGATTCAACTATCTTTTCCTCATTAATAAAAAGGTCAACTTAGCTAGCAAATTCTACTATGTTTCATTTTGTGTATCCATCTTACAATTCAATTGAAGGACTCTTGAACCTACCACTTTACTACAAATCATTCTTTAGCTGATTTGCACGACTCTCAACTTTTTTTTTCATAATTTGTTGGGACCTGGATGGGAGATAAATATGAGGATAACAACATGGATTTGACCATCTTGATGTTGACTAGCTAAAACAATTCTTAGTTTATATTCTTCCCAAAACATTAATTGTTGATGGAGCGTGGAAGGCACACATAAGCTAGAATGGATCCAATCTCACCCTAACAATATTAAGATGGTTTTGTGTTTACCACAAAGAATGTTGAGTGCAATGTTTTTAGTCCTACCGTGCTTTCAATTACCAACATGCCTAAGAAAAACCATGACTTTTCTTGTGAAGTTAGTTGTCCTTATATTCATAGGAAATAAATTTGTCACTCTTTTGTCGATTTTCCCCAATGTAGTCAACGACATAATATTAAGGATGGCTCTACCATCTATGAAAACTCTAGCTAATGTTTTGTTACAAGAAAATTGTCATATAGTGACACACACCCTATAGTGACACTATACATGTCACTAAAAATTACTTTTACCCACACAATAACTATAATATATGTTGGTATATTATTAAAAGTGTAGATATAGGCTATAGTGACACACAAAATATATTGTTAAATCTCATTCAAAATCAACATTAAAATTTTGTTTAACTATATGTCAAATAGACATATACCTACATATATTGTACCTATAGTGACATGTTTTGTATATCACTATATGTAACATTTCTTGTAGGATATCATGTATAGTGGCTTGAAATGTTTAGCCATTTAAATCGTAGGCTTGCCAAACTTTGTCTTTGTTGTCCTACCAACTTTTTTGCCACTCATAGTACCTATTCAATTTTATTAATGCATCCATCTTTTTCAGGACTCTCATGTTGACCAACATTGGCCCAAAACTCATTGGGGATCAACCAAAGTTCCCCCTAAAGTTTGGCCTAAAGCAAAAGCCACCTAATCATTAAAATGTTCTCCTTAGCTGTAGTTTTTAACCTTTGTTATGATAGGCAAGGTTTACTTCATCATTTTAATGGCTTTTTCCTTTTGTAGCCTTAATTTTAGAGTTTGGTTAAGACTACTTCCTTGAATCCTTGGAAATTGAGTTGCATCCCTTTTATTTTTGTGCACTGATCTACTTTTTCCACATTGAACTCAACCACTCTCTTTTTATTCTTAGCATAGATTCATCACATATTTTATGGAGTTGAGTCACACATTTTCCTCCTAAGTTTTCTACCTCAATTCTTCAATATTTTTTAACTTCCCCTCTTATTGTCCTATCTTGTCATATCAGCTAGCTTGGGTCGATAATTCATCGCACAAATTTTGTGGAGCTTCCTTCCAAACTATGCTTTTATATATCAAAGGAGCTTATCTAAATTAAACATGAAGCCCATATTCTTCTGTTCGGTGATTGCTATAGGTTTTTCAAAGAAGAAAGTCTTTTGTTTTGAGTCAACACAAGACGACATCGGGCAAGCGCTATATGACGTCAGCTCGACATTTGAGTAGATCATAACTGATCTCGGAGAATCTTACCCCAGATAAGATATATTATCTAATCATATCCTACCTAATCTCAGGCCCAAGGCCCGAAACAACCCTAATTCACACCAAGGTACGTGCATTACTTATACGAGACTAATACTCATACAAACCCTAACTTTAGCATCGGAGTCTCTTTTGCAGGTACCTCCCCCATCTTGGAGCAACAACGTACCAGTGAAGGAGGCTCACCGATCTTACTGGACGGATCACCTAAACGACCAAATTCTGGTAAGAACATTTGGCGTCCACCGTGGGGTCGATCAAGACAGCTCTTATCGGCCACCTGTATGGTTTCTACTAGAAGCCATACCAGACGAGTAACAGACGACCCGAGCCACTCAACTACCATGGATAGCGACGCTGCAACCCTAAGGCGGCTGATCGACCAAGTCGAACAGATGCGACAACAGCACGATGCCGACCTTCAAAATATGCGTGCCCAGCACGAAAATGACCTAGCGGTGATGCGGACCGCCAATGAAGCAGACCTCGCAGCACTACGTGTCGAGAATGAGCGCATTCGCGCCCAGCTCCCTCGACACCACTCCGATCAACCTCCACACGAGAGCGACACTCACGAGGAAGAGGCACATTCAGCCTCCCAATCCCGAGCGACGACGAAAGCACCAACTTCACGGCCTGCCACGCACCGATCTCACGCATCGACGCACAAGTCAGGACAGGGCACCAGCAGAGCCCCCACTCATGTTCCCGAGGGCCAAGAACCCTTCCGCCGTCATCCTTTTGTGGACGGCATTATGGAGATCCCACTGCCCCGCGGGTGGAAACCCCTCCACCTCGACCGCTATGACGGCATAACGGACCCCGACGAACACATCGACTCATATACAACCCAGGTAAACCTCTACACTAACAGTGACGCTATATTGTGTAGAGTTTTTTCGACCTCACTCAAGGGAGCCGCACTTCATTGGTACACCCAACTACCCACCGGATCCATCAACAATTTTAGCACCCTGATAAAGCGATTCATGGCGCAGTATGCCA